TCCTCTTTTTCTATAATTGTGTATTCTAATTCACCTATTCTCCTCTCTGCCTCTTCAACCCATGCAGTGGCCGCATCCATTTTATTATGCACCTCATTTATAGAATTTTTTTAACTAATCACAACTATTTTTAAGGTCCATAATCTTTGTAGCAATGGCTTTTCCAGTGTCTTCCGTGCCTTTTTCAAGCCCAGTGATTAATTTTATGACTATTGTTCTAAATTCTTGGTCAGTTATGTTGCTTATATCTGTTTTAAGCAATTCTTTAGCTATCATTTCTTCCTGGAATCTCATTAGAGTAGAGTTTTTCTGTTTCATCATTTTGACTAGCTTTCTGTCTCTTGTAAGTTTTAAAAGCTTGTTATGCACTCTGCACCTGCGAGTTCTGCTATATTAAAGGAGGTGCATTGACTATCCAGGGCCTGTCTGTTCAGGAAGTGTTCTTTTAACGGTGTCCCCTGGTCTCTCTTATTGTGTCTTTGGTTATTTTATTTCCCTACTTGTAGCGATATTTAGGACTTTCCACCATGTGTACTTTGGCTTGTTTCTTGAAGTAGCCCTGAAAAGGAAAGCAGACAGACAAACACACAGGGAACAAAAGCAGACAAATGCACAGACAAATCTAACAAACAAGCAAAACAAAAGGGGAAAAACAACAGCAACAACAAGAAAAGACAAAGGACAGTGTAAAAGCATTAAACCAGAAATCCCAGCTACAAGTAAAGAGCAGGGTGGAGGCAGTGCTGATGAAAGAGCATATACAAAGAGAGGTGGGGAGAAAGTGAAATTGAACATTGACCAGGCAGAGAGACTAAAAGGCCTAATTCAGAGAGAGAAAAAGGAGAATATAGTAGGAGGTGAGGAGAAAGAAACAAAGATAATGTTGCCCAAAGAAACTATACAGTCTGATTATTCCAGAGAGAGAGAGAGAGGAAGGTAACAACGGAGGTATAGAATACGCATCAAGAGAATGGATTAAATGTGACCGTTTAAGCAAACCAATGACCAGAGTGCCCAGTCCAGCAGAGGGGAGGGATAAGAATGAGATAACAGAAAATGGATTTGAATAGCAAGAATTGATATAGAGTTAATCACCACAATGCATCAAGGTTGGTCTTGCCCGGGCTCTGGTAAAAAAAATAAATAAATAAAAAATTTAAAAAATATATTACAATTTTTAAAAAAGCAGCTCTCTAGTGTAAATGAGCATGGTTTGGTGTAGGCAGGTCTCCCCTCCACTGCTGATCCCGCAGGCCATTCCCTGAGGCCCTACCATGGTATTGTGTGAAGAAAAGTGATGTTGCCCCAGTTCCTTCTCGAACCAAGCATTGCAAATCACCCTTTTGGTCTGATCTCCCTGTGCCACAGGTTTAGCCAAGGTGGTTTGTGTTCTATGTCCCAAGCCCTGCCTCTTTTCCAGATCTTAGTCCACGTGCCTTAATGACATCACCTGAAATGTAATCCCGCAGACTGGGCCACTTCCTACCAGGGGATCAAGTAGGGGGAGTAGGGGAGCAGGTTCTCCTGGCACCGCTCAGGACTTGGGCACCCAGCCCAAAGAAAGTGCCACAGCTAGAGATAGGACCTCCCTCCGAATGCCCTGTGGTTGGGGATGGGATGATAGGATCCCTCTCTGTCCTGGGCCGAGGCTTTTATCTTCTCCAGGGACAGTTCTATGAGCAGTTTCAGCTGCTCTTTCTCTTTCCCTCATCTCACTGCAGCTCTTGGCAGACAGTGCTCCCTCCTTCCATGTCTCTGGGTCCCAGCTCATTTTTATCTTCCCCAGTTTGCAGTCAGGCACCTATGAGGCTATCTTCTTAGTGGACTCTGTCTCTTTTCCTCCCACATTCTTGCGGTTCAGTATCCTATGGCTTTAGCCCTTCTTTGTTTGAAGATGTGGGCGGGGGAAAAGTATGGATCTCCCTACTTCTCTTCCATCTTGCCTCTCACACAAGTCTCCTAGACAACTTTAAACTGTGAAAATCATTTTTATGTTCATTATCTCATTTAGTCCTCAAATCAACCCCATGAGATAGGTATTATTTTCCCATTAGAAATGGCCACATCCTAAGTCCTTAGTGATTTCTCAAGAAAAGTTGAATGTGAATGCTGAGGTTGGGTTTTTTGTTAATATGGGAAAGTTGGATGCTAAAATCAACAGGTATTTTCAGTATAAGGTGGCAAACTAGAAAAACACATTTACTTTCTGTTCCTCCTGAAACGATATTTGATACAAGTGTAGAAATACCAAAATTAATACAATTCAAAGCCAAGAGAATGTGGAAGTCTTCAACCACAGAAAGATTTTTGGCAAAAAGTAAAATACAGGACTGATGAATGGAATGATCAAGAAAAGACTGTCCAAAGAAGGGGCTTTACAAGGCCAGTCTGCTTCTGCTGAGCCCTGTTTATATTCGAGAAATGAGAGAATAGAGGTTGAGAACAAAGAGACAAAAATTATTTTAGAAGGGAAAAATTTCATTTAATAAATTCCATGGGTCAGTCATCCCTCCATAGTACCTCTATAGGAATTACAACAGATTATTGGTGAGCAAGACAAGGGTACAGGGAGGGAGTGTTGAACCACAGGGTGTCAGCTCTGGTTCATTGTCACTACTACCAACTCCATCCAAGACTACATACCCATGGCTTCATGTACTATAACTGGAGATTGTTGCTTCATAAATTCTCAAATAAGAAGGAACCTTCCTGGCAACTATAATTTGTGGTTCTTATCAAAAGATTAATGAATCACTAATAAAAATGAAATAAAAATCATTAATAAAAATATTTTGTCTTAACAAATTCTGTCTCAACATGTTTGCTTCTGCCAAGGCAAATTATCTCGGAATAACCACTTGCCATTTACTATGTTTTGTCTGTAAGGGCAAGTAAGAGAATGGTCTATATTTCAGAAAAGCATCCTATCTGTCTACTCCCATTTGACAAAAGAAGTCGAGATGGAGATTTTTCTGGGATATCCTTCCCCAAATCTCCTTGTATTGTCCTGAAGCCCGAAACGCATCATATGCTTAATTTTCCCTCCCAGGGAAATAAAACGATGGAAATAACATGATTGTCATTTATTGTTTTCAAATACATCTGACATCATCATCTCTTTCAGTGTTCTAATAATAAATCTTTGCCCAAAATTTGTACAAGCTTGCTATTTCTGTTCAAACAAACACCGCCAAGAAACTGTTCCTTACTAAACTCAAATGATATCAAAGAACTTGTAGTTAAATGTCTTATCTGGAAATCATTTTTGCTCTTAGAGAGATTAGAAAGGGCTTATAATATTTCTCCTTTTCTTTCAAAAAGAATTAGGGTCTGAGAAAAACCATTTGTGTCACACCAACCCCCAAGTTAGTGGGGAGTAGGGGTTGGAAGTTCAAATTTGCTGTAACATACTATAAAAGCTCTCATAACCAGAGCACTAAAGCTAATTTTGTAGTATATGAATTATGCCCAGTGCTATTTTAAATATGAAAAAATTAAAGACAGTAGGCTTGGTTCAGCAGCATAATTTGTTCCGGAAACATGCTTGTAATCCAAAGCACTTGTCTATCAAAGCCAATTTCCCCATAATAAATAACGGAAAATCAGATGATTTGTTCCACAACCCAAAAATATTCATAAAAATCATTACAATACTGCACTATAATACAAAATAATAAAGAAAATACAAAATATAAAGAAAAATAAACAAATTAACCTGTACTTAGATTTGAAGAGTTTTGTGGCTTGTTTGAAGGAGAAAAGAGAGAAAAGGGTTATTGTGTAGGATGAGTTTCATTATCACTAACGGATGTTGACTGCACTACACTATTAATAAGCTCTTGTCATATGCTCTATGTAATGTAACTGGCAATAAGGCAGCAGAGGTAAGGGACTATATCTGCAGGCAGCTGACCTAGAATGAGGCAAAGCATTCCTGAGCAAAGTCTTGTATGGAAAAGCTAAGGACTGCTCATAGGTGCTTTGAAGTGACAAAAATGACACCAGTGCCAGTTGTGGACACCTTCCAGTGTTCTGAAAAATCACTGATTTCTGCCAAACACCGTGGCCTGAGACAGAGCATCGGAGCATGGGAGACGATCACCCACAATTCCACAGAGAAATAGACAGACAGAGAGAGAGAACCATTGGCTCAATGTCATGTGACCTTCGGCATCAGGTACTCCTTGTATTGCAAGACATCCCTCCTTTACCAAGTTAAAATTGATAAGAAATGTCTGTTCGTCTTGTGGAACACTTGCAGAACAGGTTACTCACAATCCAGGATTTTACTGTGTGTCTATAGATGTATATATAACATAACACATATATTATATATAAAATTTTAATATATATTTTTTGCTGAGCTATAGGATTCTTGGTTCTGAGACTTATGCATGTCATGTCCCAGATATGCAACATCAGTCACATGAGAGAGAAAACACTTCAGTGAAGTAAACCAAAGAAAGGAGATTCAAACTAGGTAAAGCCACATGTAGGCCAAGATTTTTCAAAGCTTCTTTCTCATGTTGAAGCTTTCAGCTCCTAGACAATACATGTTTCTCTTGCCAAACACCCAAGCATATCTCTCCCCTCTTAGACATAAGAATCTCTAGAATTCTGTTTAAGTGCCAACAATGTGAGATGAAGAATGAACCTGGATGGCATGCTCACAGCGATCAAAGTGTGTTGACCTTTCTTTAATCCAATATGTTGCTCCACTCTTAACGTACAATCAATGACATACTTGCTTCCTAAACATTAGTGAGATGCCTTACTAGACATATTCCAAGAAGGCCAGAGAAACTGGATTCTAATCCATATGGAATAAACCACAGGTGAATTACTTCCAGGTAGACCTCAACGTATCTAGAATATAATCTCTTTTATTTTTAGATATAGTCTTTACTTATAACCTACGTATTTGGATATTTCTGAGTAGATTAAAGAGAAAACCTGGGCTGCAAGGCTCAGTTACAAGTGTGGGATGGTACTATACTTACCACTGGTGGTCCATGACCTCCATCTTCTGAGACCAGAACCCATTGGGGTCCTTGATTATTTTATGAATTGAGCTTTTGTTCATTGAAGGACTGGTCCTGGGCAGTGCCTCTCTTTACTGTAAATATGGCACCTGCTAAGTACCCTAAGAACTAGGAAAAAGAAAAAAAAAAACATGGTAACACGTGATGCATATATGGTAAGGAGGCACCACAGTCCAGAGTAAGAGCTCTGGGAGTCACTACACTGGGCATGAATCCCAGCTAAGCCTCCACCACTTGTGTGACCTGAGGGGTGGTCTAAATTGTAAATGTTGTTTTGTCAAATTCCTCAAAAGGAAGAAAGCAAGAACCTGCCTGCCAGGAAGGGAGGTCTTGGGGTGCAGCATCCAGTCACGTCAGGGTTTGGAGACCGCTTGGAAACTGCCATCATCTGGAGGGCAATGCTGAAAGCCTGGGCAGCCCTAGGGAAGATGCAGCTGGCTCGAAGCCTGGCAGGGAAGCAGAGAGGGTCCAGGGGCAGCGGGCCACTCCCTTGCAACTTTGAGAGCCCCCCAGCACTCGTCTTTCTTGGGGGAAGGGCTGGCGATACACACCGAGGCGCTGAAGGGCCTGACAACCACGGCACTCAGCTACAGTCCCCATGTTGTGGCCTTGCTGGTTGTCCACACACGCCAACGGGCGCAATGACCAAGGGCAGCAGGCAGCCTATACCCCGCCACTGGCGACTGAAAGTCCCAGGCACTAGAGGCTAACCCGCGGGGCTCTGGGGCCTCCCCTTTGCCCTGTGCTGGGGTCTCTTGCCACGCTGCGCGTGCGCGCCCTTCTTTGTGACATGTCCTTTGTGACGTGTCCCAGGGATGCATCACTAGGGCCAGGCTGGGCCGTTCAGGCTCAGTGCTTGTTAGACCACGAGAGGAGTAGGAAGCTCCGGAGGGGCTCTAGACTCCAACCTCACGGTCGCTTGACGCGCAACGAGCTCACTATGGGCAATCTCCTTAGTAAATGTCTACATCTCCCACTCCGCCGCCGCCGTCCCCTGCCTGGCCGGGATCGGGCCCTGGTCCGCCCCGCCCGTGATCCTCATCCACCACCTGGCAGGGGCCACCCCGCTGCTCCTTCACCTGCCCTGCACCCTGGGCGCAGGCTCTTCCACCAGGTACGTAGGCCTTTACCGGCCACCTTTCATATCGAGCCCAGGAGGCGGTACCCCATCCCGCAGGCTGCATGGACCACTCCGGGCATTCTCCCCTTGGTTAACTGGGGTAACCCTCCGAAAAAACCTGTCCTATCGTCACGTAATTCGATGATGTTTGGGCACTCCAGAACCATCAGAATCCCTCCTCCAGGGCGCAAATTAAAACTCCAGCACTTGCCATCAGAGGCTGGAGAGGGGGCTGCGGAGCTGGTCCCATCCAGGGGCCTCCCACTTTCGTGCCCAAATAGGAGGGAGGAGAAGACCCAAAAAGAATCCACAGGAAAGATGGGGGGACCTGTGGAGACCAAAGGGCGGGATGGTGGGAGCAGAGCCCCCCATAGCTGCGGGGATATACAGTTAACATCTCGTCCCCTGGAGGCCAGTGAACTTAGCTCCAGGCAGCGCAGCGCTGCGCCTTTGGACCTCCGTCCTGGTCCTTCAGAAGACAGTCGGAGGAAGGACACCCACCAGGATCAGATTCACTCCTCCCCTGACGGCCATGCAGTCACCGCCTCGCATGGCCCTGCCAGAGATGTGCCTCACACAGATGCAGCCGTGCTCTCCCACCCAGCCCCATGCTGCCCCTCACTGCAGGAGACATCCACAAAAGAATTGTCGGGCGGAAACCATCAGCCTGTCGGCAAGAAAGAGAAACAGACTAAGGAGCCTTCAGACACATCATCAAAGAGCTCCTTGCCTCCTGTAGCTGCCAGCACCAGGGCACGGAAACGGAAGAGACCCATGCCACCTTCTCTGCCGCTGCCACCACCACAGCCACTGTTGTGGGGCCGCGGGGAGTTGCCTCCGCCTCCTAAGCTTCCTTGCATAGCACTGGACAAAAATCTGGACACCGTGAAGAACACCACACGTCACAGGAACAACATCTTGGGGGACAGAAGAGACATCAAAGCAGCCTGCTCGGACCCTCTGCCTGCCCCTGCATTCTCCATACTTGCAACAGGGACTGCTAACTGTCTCCCGTCCAGCACCAACACTGTGCAAGTCCCTACTGCTCCAGTGGGCTTGGCTGACCAACCTGCCAGACCCCCAATCCCATCTGTTCCTCCATCTATACCACCAGGTGTTGCAGTTTCCACTAGCTTGCCCCTTGGGGGTTCTGGTGTCACCTCCACTCCAGTAGGGAAGCCCCCTGCAAACTGCCACTCAGCTTCTGACGGTGAAGCCATGGACACTACATCTCCCTCTCAGGCTTCCATCACGTATTCCTCCCCTGTGTCCAGGGCCACCCATGTGCCACCTAACATAGTGGTTCCGG